TGTAGCAGCACACACAGACCTCATTTCAATGCAACCACTTCTGTGTAGGCCAACCCTTTCTGTATGTGAGATACTCGTGAAATACACTTGAGCAGGCAGCTGTAATTTGAGGGCCCTTTCAATCCCACAAGTGCCTAATGGCCCCAGTATGGATACAGCTACCTGGGTGTGAACTTCACTCTATTGATGTCACCGATTCTGTTTCCTGCAAGCCTGTTATTGCCTTCACACAATGGTATTCTGCCAGGCTGGTAGCTGCTCCTGTGGCAAAACCTTCCAGCCTAGACAAGCCCTAGAAGCTTAAAGTCTTTCATTTCTTTTGAGGCGGTTACACAACGGGCCTCAAGCTCCCTGCCAAATGCTGGTTTTTTACAAAGTTGGCACTGGGGATGTGAGCCAAGTATTGCAAACCTGTGAAGCAGATGAGTGTGTGTTAGTCAGCAAATGACAGAGGAGATCGGCCAGGAAGTTTCAAACCGCATCAGGCTAGAGCCTGACTTTGCTAATGCTTTCTACTTTCTACTTCCTACTCCTACTTTTATCCTAAGATCAGATAACAAGTAGCAGTTTTTCTTTGTAACAATTCATTAATCAGAGAAATGATCCTTGCTGGTGTTTAGATGTTTTACTTAATTTGGTACTTCTGGCCTGCTGCCCCAGTAGTGCCAAAATTATTATTTCTCACCCAGCAGGTGATAAATAACAACTTCAGTCATGATTAATACCATGAATTTCTCAACCTGACTAATGCAAAAAACTTCAAACCTGCAGAACAAGTGGGTGCTAATTGTTGTGAGAGCCATTGGAGCTGCACTCTGCTTATAAAGAAAGAAAGCCACAGGAAATGAAGTGTTTTCTAGCAGCACAGCTGATCCTAAGAGGCATCATTAAGTGCAGCTCAGCAGCATTCTCCATGTGTAGGGCTATGGTAGCCTCTTTTTTTCCACAACACTGAGCTTTAAGTACATTTGAGAGGCAGGAGATTGCCAGGTTATTTTTCTTTCCCTGGGGAGGAAAAGGAGAAATAAAACAAAAGGCAGAGAAAACAGCAGTTTAATATCTCATTAACACCACTCAATACTAAAACTTTTATAACTGATAGGTGAAAAATGACGGATCCTAGCAAAAGCTGCTCACACCAAAGCCCCTTCACATGTCTCCCTTGAAATCTCATCACATCACAAAAGGTAGCATCAAGAGGCTACCCACCCATTCAAGGAGAAGTTGCTTCAGAGAAGGACAGGAAAACCAGAAGATCAGGGAGGACTGTCAGCTGGAAACAATGATCCTATACTATAAATCAGTCTGTGGCTGAGATCCTGGCACTTTCAAATCACCGGCTGGTTTGCCACAGCCTGTGGTGGAGCAGGGTGTTTGCTCCTTTTCCTGTGCTGCACTTAGAGCGGCACAGGGCACACAGGATTCACAATCTAGCTGTGTGTACAGTGCTGTGCTGGTCAGGAAAATGAGACCTTCACACCTGGAGCTGGCACCATGTGTATTTCTGATAGGGGCAGACACCAAAATCCAGCAAGGACACGAGCAGGTAACTGTGCTGAGGGGGGTCTGTGCTGAGCAAGATTAGGCCATTCCACAATCCCAAAGAATCGTTTTAGGAATGGAGAAGCAGTCCTGTTTTCAGCAGGACTTTCTGTTTTAGCTCCATCAGGTGAAGAAAGTATCTGCTACTTTCCAACTTGAGAACCTGCCTACGAAGCTAATTACTTGTGGAATGAAAAGTCTATGAGAAGCAAACCACAATGGTCAAGTGATTTGTACTCAGACTCAGTTATATCTGTTCACTCATAGCTCTGACAGCTTTCGTGACTTTGTGGGCTGTTTTGGTTGGGTAACTCCCACACTTCCTGGTGAATGATAATCCATGGTTCTGACATTTTTTTCCGTTAGAAACCTACATCTTGTCTTAATTTGGGGAAACTTTAGAAGTTCCAGCCATCTCTCTTCACTCAAAATAGCCTGTAGGGACCTTGTATTTGTGAGCCTGGAAAGCTAGGAAAGAAAATCATCATCCCCACTGTCCTGCTATGTGAGATAAACAAACCATAGGCCTTCCTGGCCCGATTCCTGTCTCTAGTGCAGCAGCTGTGCTTCAGTCATGGGAGATCTTCTAGAAACACCCACAACTCAAGAGTAAAATTCTCACAGACTGCACATGCACTGCCTTGTCTACTAGAGGGCCACTCAGACCAGCAGAAAGCCCTCACTGCTTCGTTTTGGAGAAGGCAGGTCAGTGTCCTTGCTCAACTCCCTTGCAAGAAAGGCTTTTGGGTTTGGGTTGGTTTGGGGTTTTTTCAGCCCTTAATTTGCTTTATTGCTGGTGTTGTTAAAACTTTTCATTCCTTTTCCTGAAGCGTGCCCAGCACTTCATGAGCAATCTGTTTTAGTGTCCTTTGTAGGGCTGCAGCTTCACTGAGTTAAAGCACAGCTTGCCATGCAAGTGTTGGTCCTTGGAGCTCAGCCCAATCTGCTACACAGCACCAGTCACACTACCAGCATCGCTTTAAAAAGCATAATGGTTTCTTGTATTTATGAAGTACAAAGAATGTCATTTGGCTAGGATTTTAATAGCTATTTTCAATGCAGGTAGCAAAGCCAAGATTTTCCTTCTAAACTTAGGTATCACCTAGAATGAGTTGCAGCCTGAACTAGAAACCAGCCCTGTAGCAAACATGCCATACAGAAAGAATCCTCTTCAGTAAAGGAAGTAAGGAATGCTCTTTTCCATTTAAATGAAATTATCAGTCATACACAAGGAATGATGTGTGGTTAAAACTTTCAGAAACTTTAGTTCAACTTGAGAGCTCAGTCTCTGCTTGTCCTCAAACTTCAATATTGAAAACTCAATGTAATTTGCCTGTCTCTGTATCCTTAAGTGAAGTCTGAGTAGCTCAGGTGGATTTACACAAACTTTGTTTGCAAGAGATCAGTATCTTTTGCCCAACCACTTCCACAGTATTTATTTTCTAGATGAGACATTCAAAGCAGGTTAATGCATATCACTCTATGGGGTTTTTTCACTACTCTGAAGTTACAAAGCTCGCTGTATGTTACTGCACAAAATTTGCAGTAACTTGCTGTTCAGTATTCAGGGTACTGTATTACCAGAGCTTGCTCTGCCTCACCTTGCCAGAATACAAAAAGTTTCATTCAATGCTGTTTCAAAGCAATTACTGAAATTTGGTTACAAAGTGGCTAATGGCCACTGCAGCCTTGGAAGAGGAGGAATACATAACCACTTGCACTTTTTCAGACTGCATAAAAAATAATAGGTAGGTTTAGAAATCCATTAAGTAAATAAGTAAATTACTCCTGTAGTTCAGTCTATGGCAGCAGAATTGCTGAAACAACAGAAGCTAGTTTAAAATCTTTCCTCATAAATGGTGCTCTGCAAATAGCAAGAGGGTAAAAGACCAATTTAATTACTCTGGATTAAGATACCTGAGTTTTCACAAAGGATTTCCCCATCACCATGGCACACTAACTTTAGTCTATGAGTACTCAAAGTAGCACGTATCACAATGTTCTCTCCAAACTTTTAAAGAAAAACCCAACCAACACACAACAAATTCTTCTCCAGTTGTTTTCAGGGGTTGAATTTCATGCAGAAAAGCAAGTTTGAAAGAAGTATCTGAGTTCTCAGCTAACAACTGCTTTGATAGTAGAAACGGTCACTAAGCAGTTAAGAGCTGGCAAGGTTTAGTTTAAAAAGGTGTTCAACAGAGAGATGTGAATTTTTAAGACTCAAATGCAGGACAAGGGTAATTTACCCCTCCTGGCAAGAGTGGTTTGATGAAATACGAAGACACCCCTACACACTAAATGGATTTGACTGCAGTAGGACTTAGGACTGTTGTATCAAAAAACAGGCAGTAAGAATTCAGTTATTTTCCAGTCCAGCTGGCAAGAGTGGTCCCCCACAAAAGCAGTGAGTAAGCAAGAGTGGTTCAGGAACCTGTCATGGGAAACATAGCCAGTCCAAGGCATGCAGCTGCTTTCTGCTCAGTTTTAAGAGAGAAGGAAATGGCAGCCAAAACCTCATGACCATTGTATAACCAGTTTAAGCCATTAAGTGGTCTGACACTAAAGCATATAGTCAAAAGAACATATTTCAAAATAAGAACACAATGGTTCCAGCAAGCCAAACAGCCTGAGCTTGTTCCCAGTTGTACCCATGATTTCCTGAGAGCACAAGGTTTGTTTCTGCCACCAGCATGTTCCTGGTGGTGCTTTTGGAAAAGCATGAAGTACAACTGACACAGCAGAACAGAGCAGTACTATTTAATGCACTTGGAATAATACTAGTCAGATCAGTCCTTGCCTACACACAAGAACTCTCCCTTGAAAAGCTCAGCGTTGCCAGGGTTTTTGGAGCACCACAGTGATACTTCTTTGTTTACTTCTGTATCATTGTGGCTACATGTACCAAGAATCATGTGGAGGCAGAAGGACCAAGACATGCCAGCCACAGGCTCTCATTGAATCCTTTTTCTATGAGAACATCTGGTAGATCAAAGTTCAGAAGCAATGTTAACATACTGGAAGTGGAAGCAGTGAAGCAGACACTTACCTAGCAAGTTAGTTTCTTAAATAAATAGTAGGACAAGCTGGGGATTAAAACTGGGAAACTATAGGAAGAAAAAAAATTATAATCAAAAAACCAAAAGTGAATGAGATAAAAGCCAGAGGCAAGACACACACAAGATGGACTAACAGCCAGAAGCAACTTTGACACAAAAACAGGAACTGACTGAATAAGATCACATGAGTTGTGTGCTACAGAGGTCCAAGACATTTTTTTCACCCGATTTCTAAATAAGTTTTAGCTGAGGCAGACAAACTTTAAGATCTCTAATGCATACTTTCATTCCCAGCCTAATAATTCTAACTAGTTTACAATTTTATTCCAAGTGTCTTGCCAAAAGGATCCCACTTGTGAGCTACAGAGACACTAAATTTAATAAAAAAGGCACTTAGAAAGATCAGAGATCAACTTCAGTGTTTTATTTTTTTTTAAATAGATACAATATTTTTCCAAGGTCACTTTACAGTAAGTGGTATACAGGCTAATAAAACAGAAACATTCGTACAGACATTTCAACTTAAATGTGTACATAATATTCTACAACACAAATACTGTAGCTAACATTTTTTTCTCACTCCAGAACAATTTGGCAGCTTCAAAATGCCATTCCATTCCCAAAATCAATTTATTTAACGAAGATAAACCCAAAACTGAAATGTGATCCACCCTAAGCACCATGCTTATTTGAGCAAGGATGATCTCTTGGAAGACTGGGCTGAAACTGTACAGCTGTCTTTGTCATGACCCTCAAAGTACTGCTGCTCTATTCGCCGACAAAACGCTGTAAGATTACTGTAGTTCTTCACTTTTTCAGAGAGTTCATCAGTGATTAGCTGAGTAGTAAGGATTGTGAACAGATGTCCAAACACCAGAGCATCTAATTCAGTTGGTCTGTAAAAATAAAAAAAAACCACCAAAAAAAACCCAGGTATTTTGGGAGACAAGTCCTGATCAAGAAAAACCATGCCATTCTGAGTAAGCTTTATATAACCATGCAGTCTAAGAACTGGGATGAAATCAAGCAAGGCTAAATCAAATGTATGAAATCTGTGTATAGGGTATATTAAGAAACCTGCTTGTTCTCAGGATGGCATTTTCCTTGCCTTAGGGAGCTTGGAAATGTGGAAATAACATCTCTTAGATCAGACAGACTTACTGATCTAGTTTCAAGCCATGCTCCACCTTTTAGTCCTGTAACAAGGGCAAATGCTTATGGCTCTTCTTTTTCTTCTGCAGATGTGTATTAAAAAAAATCCAACTATTATATTCCAAGGGGAAAAAAAAAAGGGAGATGAGCAGAAGTTTATGACTCCCATTCCTTTTTTTTGTGTTCTGCAACAATCCGGAACTATTCAACCAACAAGAAAGAGAGTTCCACGGTGGCAGCAGCTGGAAACATCTCTTTTCTGAGAAAACAGGTATTTTGGGAATGTTTTAGGTATGACCCTTCTGAATTGTCACCTTGGACCTTAAAGCAGTCCATGTATATAAGCAGTCCATGTAAAAATAATTTTTTTTTCAAATGTATTAATAACTTCAGAGTCCTGCTTTACTAACGTTCAGTATATGCAGCATGAAGTTTTCCTAACTGATGAAATTTCCACCTTTTTATTTTTGTGGATCACTAAGCACTCTCCAGTGGAGGTATAGACCCCTGCATAACAAACTTGAATCTGTCAGAAACAGGCTGCTTTTCTTATTCACCTCTCAAAGACTCACAGAAGTCACAGACTGAAAACTACTGGACTAAAAATACATACTTCATTACTAGTATTTCAGACAGCTAAAAAATTTAAAGATTGAAACTACCAAAAAAAGCCTGGTTAACAACCAACAACACAAATTTCTCAAGTTACAATTCTTTAGAAATACAGAAAGAAAATTTAAGAGATACTATGTTTAATAATTGTAGGAGAAGACACAATTCAAAATCATCTTCTATAAGGCATATTTCTGTATCCCCTGAATTAACACTACCCACCTAGTCTCGCTTGGAACAGATTAAGGGGCAAAGACACAATGCAGAAAAGTAACCAAATACTGCCATTTGGAGACATCTCCCTGTTCAAATGTAGTAAACTGAAATCCAGACCTGAGCATTTCTAGACTGATCTATGCACAGGAGACAAGAGGAAGCTAATATGATGTTATTTAAGTCTGTAACATTTCAAAAATAGTGAATTATTGGAGAGGGAAAAAAAATTAAAAGAGCATATTGCAATTGAAAGAAATTGGTGAGAGCAGAGGGCATTCCCTGGAGGTCAGGTAATTTCTTTTTTCTCTCCTGGCAATGTGAATCTTGGTTTTCACTTTGCATTTGGTTCTTTGTGGACCAGCCAGCTTCTCCCCCAGTTCTTAGAACTCACAGGCACCCTCATTCTAAGTCAGTTCATTCAGAACTGCTTCTGGTGTTATGATAAGCTGTCCTGATCAGGTTGGCACAGCATACATTCAGTCCTCTAGCAGAGAATGTTACACAAGAAATACAAGTAAAGCTTTAAATGTATCATTTTTAATAAGAAACTAACTATATCAAAGTGTACATTTGTAGCCTACATAAATTGTGGTAGAATCTGTAGAGAAGACAACCAGGAGTAAAACAAAATCATAAATACAACAAACTTACAGAAGCTTTCCCTTTAAAACCTTTTTAAAATACTTATTTCTGAAATTTCAAGTTTCGATTCCAGTCACTTTTGTATTTTTGCAACTAATCACACAGCATTAATATAAAATAGGAGTTTTATATAACTACATTTGTGTATGTATGTGGGTATATACCTATATCTTGTATTTCTGGATGCAGTATTTCAGTGAAGAGTAACTTACTGTTTATTGAAGAAATATGGTTGTGTTCCTAATCTCTGGGAGAGAGCCTGACAGCACTGATCTACATCTTCAAGCACCTATCAAAACACACAAGAAAGAAAGATCCATATTGTCAGGAAGTAACACCATTGCAAGAAATAACTTTATTCTGTTTGCACCCACAGTGGGAACAAGAATGTAACATGATGGAATATCAAAAGCTGTTAAAGTCAGCCAAACCTACACAGCAGGCAGGTAGCAAAGTGTTACTTAATCTAACATTTGATGCAAGGCAATTCTGATTAAGTGCTTCCCCTAACATTTATAACTGAGTTTAATGAAAGGTACTGACTTAAACCTCACAACCTGCCACAATCCCACAAAGAGTGCCTATCAGCATCATACAGGAAGCAGGGCACAGAACTTAGAACCTATTTTCAGGGCTATGGCCTAAACTAACACTGACAGAGTTTTACACTCATGGCAAAATATCCTTCCTCCCACCCCATCGGACAGCACATAGTTTATGATTTATTGCTGCTGAAGGCAAACTTTAAACATCATGATGATGTTTAAAGTACAGAATATATATTTCACTACATCTGTTTCAGGAACATGCTACTCTCCACTGCCTATTAAAAAAAAAATAAAAGAAAACAAATCAAAAGGAAATCAGGGTAAAGAAATAAGGTTCACTTTTCACACTTACCTGTTCTAGTGTCTTTCCAGCCCATCCGATGGCTTTCATCTTTCGCCTAACCTCCCACTGCTTCTGATAGGACAAAATGCGGTTAAGAGGCCACGGATAAGGAGAGCCATACCTTGGGTGAGTAATCTTTTTTTGAAAAACAGAAAGGTACTGCATTATATTACAAGAAAATACACATACCTCTTGAACAAAACAGATAGTATTTAAATATTTCTTTCAGAAAAGAAGCTGTAGAAGAGAAAAGCAGTTGTGTATGCTGTAACTATTTGCACAGAATCTACTGTTTGAAGTATAACTGTTTAAAACTATTCTTTCAGAAACATAAAGAAAACCTGTATCTATTCTGCAACTGGCTTCCTCCAGTAACACGGCCTCCCTAAAATGCGTATGCAATGAAATTAAAGTGGAAAGACTTTATCATTAATGGTATAAACCCCCATGTTTCATTTATGAGTAGGGACTTGCAGTTGTGAGCAAAAGTGTTTTCTCATTAAATTTTAATTAAGATAAATGCTGTGGAACCACTCACCTCCTCTACTGTAACATCATCACACCACTGGAGATAGAGCTAGGAAAAGAAAGAACACTTACTAAAACTTCCTAATAAAGGAGAATACAGAAACAATTATTTTTCACTAGCACAATTTTCTTTTCTAAATTAGATTAAAATTTCCATTTCATTTCTTCTCTTAGACCTTTGATGTACAAAAGAAATTAAAACTGGAAGGCAAAAGCCCATTTTCTAGTTCTTGCTTCAGCATCACCAAAACTAAGGTGAGACCAAAAGCCTGCTCCTGTTGCCCACACCACACCCAACTCAAGGCACAGGTGACCAGCCCTCAGCTCCTCAGTCACCTGCATCTCCCAGCGCTTCCAACACTGCTCCCACCAGGACTGAGTCACCTGCATCTCCCAGCACTTCCAACACTGCTCCCACCAGGACTGAGTCACCTGCATCTCCCAGTGCTTCCAACACTGCTCCCACCAGGACTGAGTCACCTGCACTGGACACAGACAGGCAGCACAGAGGATCCCAGGCTTCCCCCATGCACGGCATGCACATGGGGACAGTGAGAGCGGGGTGCCATAGCTATGCCAGCTGGGGCGTGCCATAGGACCCCAACAACCACTGGCACTTCCTGGTCAGTTACTTCTACACTTGACATAGGTGAGGGGAATCACACCTGGCTACAGGAACAGGTCAGCAAGCAACCCACAGTGTAGGAGAATTTATTTCTGTCTCCTTTCACCTCAAAAGCTGATGACCTAATCTGAGAACAGCACTATTTCCACTACATGGAAAAATCCTAAAGCTTTCTTGCCTACAGTCACTTATGTAAGTGTGTGGAGTTACTAAGGTTTGCTGTACCTCTGCTGTCAAGAGCATATTATTGACCAATTCCATGTAGGCTTTCATCTCAGCTTTTTGGACTTCATCCAATCCATCACTGAGAGAATGGCCCTAATGGGGAAAAGAAAAAAGACACACATGTAAGAACAAGTATTGGAGTATTCAGCAACATATGACCCAAAGACGGAATGGGAGAATAAGGGCAAATTTGAATGGAACATTCCAGGATTTAAAACAATCAGTTCTGGGTTTTAAGACCACTGAGACCCAGAGACAAAGCATGTAGAAAAACAGTCTCAGAAACTGGCACTGATATGCAGCTATCCTGCATAGAATTTACTTGTAGATTTGAGGAAATGACAAAGAAAAACATGTCCATCTCACAAATTCCTGTTCCACGATATCTTTCTTTTAATCCAGCACTAAATTCCTTGTTTTTACTATTGTTTTAACAAATTCAGTAACATTCCAGAAAAGCACACAAAATCAGAGCAATGCTAAGAAGGATTAACATTCACTAATTAATGAAAACAATGTACAATTACCTTGGCTTTTACAAACTGGACTATGGGCCCAAGTTCAGATACCACTTGATTTCCCACATGAATAAAGGGTACTTTCCCTGTAAAAGGAGAAATGTCTTACAGTAATGAGACAGAGGGTGATGGGGAAGAGAGAAGGGAATTATCTCTGAATTATCATTAAACCAATATAAAGAAAGGAAATGAGGTAAGTGAGTAAAAGTGAGTAAAACCAGTAAAGGACTCCAGGAGTAAGGGCAAAAAGTATACATGTAATTCTGCCTACATTTAAAATTGAAGCGCTATCATTTTCCCTCTTGTGCTCCTTATTTTTAGAAGAAGAAGTGTTCAGACCTAAATTACATTAGAAGCCAGCAAGTGTGGGCATGAGGTGTGAGTGGCAGAAAAGCCACAGCATGTAACTGTCACCAGTCCTGTTCTGCACATGCAAGATGTTCCTGTATGCCTGGATTCAGCATTTCAAAACTCTATTTACTAACAGATAATTCATATACCTTCATATTTTGCTGGGTTTTCACTCCTATCAAGCAACTGTTGGTTTGGGGTATTTTTTAAATAGCCTTATTTCACTGTTTGAACAAAAAATACCAGTACAAGCAGTAGAATCCATACAGCTGGCACATGTATACTGACTGACAGGCCCTTCCATACGGCAGTCAACAGCCAGAGCCAGGTAATCAGTAAATATGGACCCCCTCACACAGCAAAAATCTGGGACAGAGTGTGAGGATGCCAGACTTCGGCACCCAGCATGCTATAATTCTCTCTGATTCTTAGGCAATATTCTCAAGCTGGCATCTGGGCATTTTTAGGCAGTCGCTTCCAACAAAAATAGGCTGTGTACCTTTCTAATGCTTAACTTTTTGGTGGTGGGTTTGGATTTTTCCCAGACAGTCTCATGGATCCGAGGAAGATTTAAAATCGCCTCTCACCCTTAATACTGACAATGCACCCTTTGGTCTCCTGTATCCTGGCAATCAACTCCCAGACAGAGTAAAAAGAGAACCTTTCTCCAGCATTGTTTCATTCCAGCAATAGGAAAATATAATGGCATGTCCAGGAATATTCCCTGGATGCAGAATAAAGCCACTTTTGGACACATATGTCTTTCTGTTTTAGGACATTTGAGAGGTTTCCACCAGGCACTGAACTGTCTGAACACTTTATTCAGGTTCTGTTGTACACATTGTGCCAGTGTTGCTTTGTATTTCACTGTTTTGATTGTTTGCAGAGGAGAAACTGCAGAGGAGGGGGAAAGGCAACCCACACACAGTAGCACTGCCCGACTGTTATCAGAAAGACAAGGCAGAGTTGCCATGGTATCAAAATGGAGGTATAACACAGTAATCTAAATGAAGGCCACACTTACCAGATGGGGACATGTACTCGGCATTTGCCCTGCAAATCACCCGGATTGGCAGATTGCACATTTGCAGAAAGGCCTGGAAACAAAGAGTCGCAGTTGAAAAGCATTAATACAGTGGCAAACAAATGTGGTGTTCTCAATACATTTGACTGTGTTAGATGGTTCCTAGCACACACTTATGAAGTACAGTTCCTTCCATATTGTTTTTAGGAAGAAAGAAGAAGTAAAAGAAAAAAAAAAAGGCATTTTAACTTCATTAGACAGCTGTTTATCATTCAAACACTGACTGGAATTCTTCTAATGCAGTTTCATCTATTTTTGCTGTTTTTTCAAGACAGGCAAAGAAGCAATATCTGACAGACACAATTAGTGCTGTGTCTATAAAGAACTGAGTGACATTTTGCCCCTTTTGAAAACCACAGTACTCATTTCTCCTGGCTAAAGCTGGCTAGTCAAGGTAATGTTGTGTAACATGGCAAACACATATGGCACCTTCCCACATTATAATTACAATAGCTGCCAGAAATGTTGCTCATTGATGCTGTCAAAGCACAAGTCTGGTTTGGGACAAATTTTTAGTTTATGGGATTCATGGAGACCATAAGTGATCAATTTACTGTTTCCTTCTATCTGTGCTCTTAGATTCAAAGCTTTCTCAGAAGGATAACAATTTCTGCCAGCACCTGCCCCTACCACAAAATCCATAGGCTGTTTCTGTTGAAATTCCAAAATGTCAAGAAAAATATTTGCAGTTTGGACAGAACATGGCAAATAAAAAATCTCTTAATCTCTAGAGACTCTCACAACTCGGCTCTGTCCTGTCTTTCATTTTTATCTCTGCAATTAAGACAGGTCACAATTTCATATTCCAAAATTATTCTATTGCCCATTTATACACTGTGACTTGAGGTACAAAAGGCCTAGAGCAATAAGACTCCCACCATGACGAAAAATGCTGCTGTAACACAGCACTTTCTACGCAAGTGTCCTCCCTGCTCTTCCGACTGCAGGATCTGGCAGTAAAACACACTCTCACAGCTTTAGCTGCTCAGATTCGAATCACACACATGAAAGCAACCTAAACCTTAATATTTGCTCATCTCTGCACCAGATGAAACCTTAAGTAATGATCTAACTCTGTCATCAGCTCTGTTCCTAATTTTGTGGTTTCTATAGTATCAAGGAAGCAAAAAATAACCCAAACAGCTCCTCTCCTCTCACCTGTGCTCTTCAAGGCTTTTATATCCAAACTGTAAACCAATCCAGGGAAAAAAAAAAAAAACAAAAACTTTGGTCTTTTTCCCACCAAACTGAAGAATTGCACAGTCCATTATGTTATTTGCTTCTTGCACGTTTAGATGAACTGACTTAAATGCAAATCTCAATTTAAAGAAAGAAATTATAGTCACAAACTGCTACACAAGATATTCATTACAGGTGAAAAGAGCCTACCTCAGAATTATGATGGCTCTACAAAATACATCAGAAACATGGATTTCTACATCTTTTGACTAAGCCTAACTAACTAAAAGCTCTGCTAGGGAGCCTATTACTATAGATACACATACGGACAGAGACATAGATACATAAGGAGAGGGTAGTTAGTAGTCATGGTCAGTATCAGCCAAATAATTCAGGTCCTGCACTATTAATCTCAGAGTGTTTCATCCTAAACAGAACCTCTACTACTGCTTAAGGAACAGTCATCACAAAGAAAATATAAAGGCACTGGCCACGTTTGACAGCACATCAATTACCAAGTCTGTGGTCCCATCAGAATACATCAAAAATTGAGTATCTTGCTACCTTGGTACCACAAACTCCATGCAAACAGTAAGAACACCTGAAGGACTAATTCTTCAGTAATTTAATTTAAGGCATTGGTCTGCCTCAGTCCTAGATCTCTTCCTTTGCCTGCTGGCTCTGCAGGACCTGGCAATGTCCATGCAAATGTCCAGCTGCTGTTACACGTATCATGTCTTCCACCCAAACTGGAGCTTCATATACAACTTCTTCAGAAACAGTTAAGAGACAACGCAGGCTTTGGTTTATATCACATACATGCTCCTACGCCACTGCTGGACACCAAAAATATACACCAACTCAATTGGTACACAGCCTTCATTCTTCTGAAAGCTCTACCAGTAGCTAACACCATATTCCCAACAGTATTGTGCTGCAGTGGAACAGAAGGCACCGAACAACAGCTCCGAAGAATTTCATCACTGGTCCAGGCTTACTGAATTAATTTCTTTCACAGTAAGGCACTAAATTAACTCTGCAATTCTGCAGAAATTAATTTTGTAACTGCCGTGTACTATTCAGGCTGCAAGTTTAGAAGAAAGTCTGAATTGCACTGGAGTTAGGGCAACACATGAATAAATTAAAAGGTTGCAAGTGCAGAGACACATTTAAGTAACAGGAGGTGAATCAGAGAACTATTTTTACTTTTTCATATCAGCATATCAAAAATGAGACATGCTTGCACAGAACACCTGGGTCACACAAGTTGCTTCAGATTCCTGCCCACTGTATTGTACATAGGCTCCTATGTAGCACAAGACTTCCACAAAAAATAGTTTGTGACTGAAAATCTTTTCAGTTTAGAGTTTACACTAGTTTTCATCTGACTTTCTCTCTCTTCAATAATCATCCTCCAAGGAATATCAGCTCTTTTTACACTGGAGGGGAAATTCCACCTCAGTCTCTGGCCTAGTACAAAGAGGACTGAGAATATGCTGATATTTTGTGATTTCAAAAATGCAAATAAACTGTTCATGTGCCTTTTTGAACTTTGTGAAGAGGAGAGAGAAGGATAAATTAGATTTGAGCTCTACTGTGGAAATAAATATTAACTACATAAACATGTTTGTTACTCTTGATAATAGACCACAGATTCTAGTAATGTTAGAAATCATTTAGTCTACCCCCAGTTAAAAAAATCAAAATTAAAAAAAAAAATTTAGGAGGACTTTAAAGTAAACACCAAATCATACACCTGAGAAAACTTCCTTGGAATATTCATCTTCAGTTCTAATGAATGCTTTATTAAATGGGAGACCAGGACTGACACTGAGAAGAATGATTCAGGCTTAGAACTGGATAAACTCATCTAGTACTGAATTTACCACATCAGTCTTCCTGCAAGATTCTGAAACAGTGACCACTGACTACTGGAGCTTCCCCTTCAACAGCTTTACAAGGCTTCTTCCAGCAACCCCCTTCAGCATTCCTATGCCAAGACCTGTTCCACTTCAGTTTTCGTATATATTTAGGATTGGCTTTAAGATGAGTGATGAAATAAACCTAAATATGTAATATAGGATGTAATATTAATAGTATAACCTAAAAATAAAATACAATCAACCTAAGAAATTAATTTTTTTAAAATCCCTGCTATTACATCTTTAAAAAGACAGAAGCCCAGGGATTAAAAAGACCACTATGTCTGTCTGTTATGAGCTGCGACTTGTATCCAAAGCATGACCTCCTCAACTTTAAGTGCTCCTTACATAATTTCTACAGCAAAATAAAGGAAAGGTCCACAGTATAAGACAAATTTAATCCTTATTGAATCTACACTGCTTAACTAATTAACTAGAGAAGTAGGCCAGTACCTACTTCTTGCTTCAGCTTAAACTAATGGTCCACTGGACACCCTTCAAGTTAACTAAAAAATTCCTGTCAATCAGTAAAAGAATACAGTACCATCCCAGATTAGAAGGGCTCAGCCTAAGAAATAAACCTTGCAATTTGCATTACTATGAGTACTTACATTGCTTCATTGATGCAACTGACAGGCTTTGGAAATTATTAGCATTAATAAGACAGGTGGTTTTGACTTTCCAAGCACAGTGAATGCATTCCATATTTATGGAAATTAGAGTTTCTTTTAGAAAAAAACATGGACAAGGATTGTGACCAATGCATTCCTATAAATATCCACTGCCAGAAAATCTTGACATTTTTTTCTGACTCATCCAAGTAGGTATGCTAGATATTAGACAATAACTGATGTGAGACAGTAAGTGGCATGAACTATTACCAAAATAGTTGAAACTGGAGCAGATCAAAGAAATCCTAGAGAAAAAATATAGGACAAAGCAGCAATTTCTCTGAGTCTTTATCTCATTACATGCTTTAGCCCAGCGATCAAGGGAGGATTTGTTCCCTTTTTGACCACTCACGCAGAATGTCAAGAACCAACACATTTGGTGTGCAGATGGTATGAGACCACCATGGCTTCCAACTCTGATAAAAGATGCCATGGAACACTGATTACTTCAGCTCAGAACATCTTGTTTCCCTTTGGGTACCTCACATACACAGTTTGAGCAGGCAAGTTATCCTTGCTTTTCTTGTGAGAGAAATCTTTTTCTGAGAGCAAATGGGAGTGTGCTCAGCTCCTCTGAGTGCTTTTGGGCAAGAGATTGAAGGCTGAAACCACCCCAGTGCAGTTTTGCTGAGATTTATGAAGATACCAACACCCCTTCAAAGACACAGCATCAGAAGCTCAGCAATCTGAAAGATCAAGGGCCCAGTCTTATTCTAGTATACCAGAGATTATGCTAACATCATGAATTTGGCTGATCAATGTAAAAAAAGGACTGAAAGAGGCAAACTGAATTCCAAGTAACACACAAGCTAGTTAATGACACCCTTGTGAAAATTCACCGAAAAATAGCAAGCAAGACAGTAACAGCGAAACTAGAAACAAGACATTTAACTGAGCACAGCCTGTCCTACCTCACAAACATGCCTACAGTTCCAAATAACAGCATTAAATTTCCAGCTCCCTTCTTCTCTGGAAAAAAAAAGTGTAATATCAAAGAACGAAGAGGATGACACTATAGGCCTCAACCTGGATCTCCTCCAGCACCAGAGGAACAAAGTGTGTCTGTTCTTTGGATGAGGTTAATGTAAGAAACAGATAAGGGCATTAAAAAATAAAGATTTGGCTTAATAGAGTCTGTCAGCTTCTCTCCCACACATGCTCTCTGCCCCTTTCCTGCAGTCTAACAGTCTCCTCTCTCACATTCTTCCAGCCTCTCTAACTGTAGCATTACCTAACACACA